AAGAACATATCTTCACATACAATATGAACTTCAGCAGGAAAATATTCTCCTATTGATTACTCCTAAATCATATTATCAACATTAAGTCTCTTTCATCTGTCTTGATTAACCATTTATTTTAATTATCAAATTAACTTAAATTAAATATTATTAGTTACGTATAATTTATTACTCCTTTAAATTTAAATAGAAATGTCTAGGACAGATTGTTTATTACAGTAAATGTTTCTATTAATGCTCCTATTTTACACTTTTTGATAGAGTTTTATACCTACTTCAGCATTTAGTGTTTTTCTTTCTGGGCAAATCTACATCTGATTTAATTTTAACCCTCACTGTGCTGGCTGATTTCATCTGCATCTCAGTCCTGTAATGACAATCATTTAGTTGGAATTTGACACTTCTTTCTTTTACTAATCTATTTTCTGAGCTATATATTAATTCATGTTTGTCCTAATTTGTGGAACTGTCTTTTGGCTAACATTTATTTCCTAAGGCATTCCCCTCAAACTAGTTGTTTATAAAATTTTGATGCACTTTTTTTATCAGCTGACTAAAACTTACTGTATGTATTGTAAATTTCTTTTTGCTCTGTTTTAACTATTATTCCTTAATATTTTCTTCTAATTATTCTTCACATATGTTTTCATGTGAAACAATATCGTTTTCTTAAACACTTTTCTCTTTCAATTTGTTTTATAGTAATTTAGAAGTATTACTTTTTGACCTTACCATATCTTATGAATTTATTTCAATTGTTATTTCAATCTTCCCTTTAACTGTAAATCATTTTTCTAAATTTGAATCTCTTTCCAGTTTTCAATATCCAATCTTGATTTAGGCCATTCACAATAAGATTATGTTAAGATATTTCCTTTACTTAGTTTTAACTTAAATACTTAATTCCTTCCTTATTTATTCTTCAAATTATTTATTGCTTTATCAAAAGCTTTTTCTCTTTCTTTAGTTAGTCTGCTGCATTGTAATTTATCCTTCTATGTTTAAGGACTTTTATGATTAAACCTATTGAAACTTAAACCCAAATTATTTAACATTCATCATAATATATCATTCAATAGTTAAAGTTTCACCTTGAAATTACCTTATAACACTTTTTCTTACTTAAACAATTGCATGATAATATTTTTTTCTCAAATTGACAGGAGTCTGATTTGATACAAGAATGGGTAGCTACACTTTTGTTCTTAATTTTCCTTCTGTAATGCTTGAACTTAATTTGGACTATAGGAGCTGCTTTGAGGTGGACTGTCTGACTATCCCCCCTCGCAACCTGAGACAACTAGCACACAGATTGGTGCTGCAGTCTTTTCTTTTCTTTTCAGCGTTTTCCCCCTCTCTCTTTGGGCTGGCTTCTTTCTTTGACTGTAAAGTTCTAGTGGAGCAATTTTTCTCTTTGATCAGTTCATCAGTCTCTTGTTAGTGTCTCTTTTGAATGTCTCTGAACAAATGTAGCTTTTTCAATCCTTAGTAAATCCTGGGCATAAAGTTCATGTCACAAGTGTCCACAGCCATTTTGCTCATTGTGTTTTTCAAACACCTTTCCATTTGCCAGTGCACTCAAATGTCTGGTAGGTACGAGACTACAGTCCCCCAAAGTTCATCCCTATGTTCTCTTAACTAATAAATATAGAATTTAACTCATGACTTAATAAATCTTTTTACTCTTTCCCAATTTTTGCTTCATCAAATGAAGACTCCTTTTATCCATTTTTTCATTTTGTTGTTTAACAACTTATTTTCTCTAATTATTTTTAATTCTCGATCATTTTTATCATATGTAAATATGCTTAATTTTCTATTTGTTAAATATTCTTATAATTAATTTCTTTGGCTTCAGATTGTGCTTCACTTATTTTTATTAATTTATTCTAGTGCTTCCTCACTAGTTGCATTAAATCTTAAATTATGTAATTTCTCTAACATTTCTGTTTTTAATTCATCAGCACTACATGGTGCTTACATCTGATATAACTGTTCAAAATCCTTACTGCAATAGCTTAGAGTACATAGTACTAATTTAACTCCACATGTTTGTTTACTTAAAGCATTTTTCCTATCAGAAATGCAATTTGTAATTTTCAATCACTTTTTAAGTACATAAAATATTAACTACAACATTTTTGAACTCCCGCTATGATGTTCTTTAATGTCTCCTCAGTGTCTATGCTTTACATCTGAATCACTGCTTTTACTACAAATAGCTGTTGGCGCAGATGACAGCCTGTAGCTGACTTTAAGACAGATGACAAGTCAATTTAAGCCACAACAACTTTTTATTGCACTTAAACATAATTTTATCTTTTAAAGCCAAATCTTGTTTTCTTTTAAATGTTTCGTTTTTTTCTCATTTTTATCTTATCTGTTTAATATATATATTTAAACATCTTCTCTTTGTTCTATTAATCAAAGTTTAGACTTCTTTTTTCTCAACTTTCTGTATGCTTTTTTTTCTACTTAGCTTTTTTTTTTAGATCTTAGTTTTTCCTGATACAATTTCCTTTAAACTTATTTTCCTTAAACATTTGATCATTAACTCTTCAATTAATCCATATTCAAAGTTTTCCTCTTCTAATTCTTTATTTACTCAAATTATTAACTTATTTATTTTTATTCATACTAATTTAATAAAATGTATTTCCTTATCAATATAACAATTTATCTCCATATGTAGTTAGTTTTATGCTTCAATTTTTTAATTTCTTAGTATTTATTAATATAGCTTTCAGTTACATTTTTATTAACACTTTTTATTTTTTAAATCTTATTCTATCATTAATATTTTCTTATTTTATTTATCTTATTACATTACTTTATAATATTTCTATTTATTTAATACCTTATAATATATCTTGACTCTTTAGCTTCTATCTGTCCTGTGAAACTTTTGTTCTTAAAATAGACAGATTCTTACCACTCCTGAAGCAGACCTTCTTCCAGACTGTCGACATGTCAGGAATTTCAGTCCCCTCTCTGCCTAGTTCATAATTAAAAACACTTCAAACACACAGAGATTATTCAGAAAAATGTTTAACTAGTACATTCTTCTTTTCAGTCTGTGTCTTTCAAATGCAATATGACCTCAATTAATTTTATGAGGCTTAATCCTCCTTTGTATCATAATATCTTGCCTAAACTGCATCAATCTCTGTTCTTATTGTTCTTAAAGGGGTGGTCCACAATAGCTTTTTTAAGCTTTGGTTGTGTTTATGGGGTGCAAAACAATGTGGGTTCATTATGCATTTGTAATAAATCACGTTATTTGTTCACAGATCTTACCTTCAATTTATACAGCTACTGAGCTAACATGGAAACGACCATCATATTTCCTGGTTTGTTCTATAAAGCCCGCCCTCAAAGGGATCTGATTAGTCAGCTAACCTAATGTGTTTTGGTTGGTGGATCGGCATCACGTCACCAGGAAACGTCATGCCTCTTTTGCATGCTGTCCGTCAGACTGTAAATAATGTCAGTGAAGCCGTATCAGTTTGAGCCTGAATCAGACACAGAAAATGAAGAGGACACAGCTGAACTAATGCTAACGCGACTTTTGCAAGATGTTTCGGAATGGTACGTTTTTGTTTTGTTCATTGGTAAGAGGAATGTGGTCAAGCCATCAGCATTTCATAGTAGTACACAGTAACACAGTAATGGTCAGTTTGTACAAATTACATTCCATACTAGTGTAAATAGCAAATGGTACTTTATATGGTGGCTGTAAGGTCTCCCTTTCTAATGGATAACGTTAGCAGGTAACTACTTTGTTTTTCGTTCACTTTCTGATGTTTAACCACGCCATAAAAATGCGATCGTAATAACATTGTACCATAGTAAGGCTTAATTAAAACGCACTTCAGGTAATTATAAAAGCTAAATGTTTATGCAGAATAAATAAATTAAAATGATACTTATAAAAAACATGACATCCCATACTAGTGTATATAGGAAATAGTACATTATAAGATGGTTGTAATGTCTCCGTTTGTAATAGAGAGCAGGTAAAACGATCTACTTTGTTTTCTCGTTCACTTCTGAGGTTTAACCACGCCATAAAAATGCAATCGTAATGGCATTCTATCGTAATAAGGCTAGGACAAATTAAAACGCACTTCAGGTATTTATAAATTATGGCTAGGCTGAATAAATGAATGAAAATAATACTTACAAAAATGAAAGCACGGACGAACCTATACTGAAAACAGTGCAGTTTTGTACATACATAATGAAACATACGTTGCAGAAAATATATTATATGTTATAATATATATATATATATATATATATATATATATATATATATATAATATGAATGATATTTTATTGAGTAAAACGGTCACGAAATTACCGTAACAGTAATATGTGTGCTAAACAATGAATAGCTGCGGTCTTCACTGGATTTCTGAAGTGCTGTTGGCTTGATAACATCTTTTTTTCTTCTTTTACATCTAGTGTCAGTTTCAAAATAGGTTGTCATTTGTAAATGGTAATAGCAATATTTAATATTTTGTTTTTATCCGTTTTGTTGATGAATGTTCAATGTTATAACAGCAACCAATAATTATGTGGCAACATATACAAAATCAAGCTAATTTTTTGTTATGGGAATACATTTAATTTTCTTTAGGTGCACTTGTAATAACTGTGAAAAAAATGCCAACAGAAGTAGAAAACATCTGCTGCAAAGAAACACAGAAGGTAATGTAATTGCATTAATGGCTTTTCATTAATGTTTCTGAGTTTGACTAATAGTGCACTTTTCATAAAGGATACATGCAAGTTGACCACGCAGAAATTAATTATTGTCATACATTACGGTTTAGGTTGTCCAGCGTATGATGCAGGTTCCAGACCCTCCTACTTGCATGGTGCAGCATCCTGGTTTTGAACCCAATTGTTTAAACATGTACACATTACAGAATATAAATAATATATACAGGGCAGACTATGGACCGTTGAGACACAGAAATGTTGAAGAGTAAGTTTTTGTAAAATGTATTTTAATAAATGTTAATAAATGTATTTTAAGTTACTAAGTACAAATCACTGAAAACCAGTTTAAAAAAACTTAAATAAACAATAAATATATACACATATGTACAATTGCAAGGTTTGATATGCAATGCTGACATCCGTTTCCTTTTATTGCCATAGGCGTTTCCGTTATCTGTCATATCGCAGCTTTGTTAGCTGGTGCTGGGGCTGGCTAGGACGTGAAGTGAGGGTTGTCATCCCGTCATGTGTGGTGCGCCGGATACGCCAGGAGTTTCCGAATGCAGCAGGACAGTATGTTGGGTTCCGGCCTCCCCTTGATTAAATCTTGAAACATGCTGTGAAATAACATGCTCTTTTGAGGGTTTCTCAAATTGAGAGGAAAGAGGTGGTGGAACCGGAATGGACTGCAGCTCTTCCACATATGGTGCTGGATCCAAACAGACCTCATCTAGCACAAGGACCATGAGGTCCTTCACGTAGCCTAATAATAAAAAAAAAAATGTTTTCTGAGAAAACAATTACATGTTTGGAACAACTATACTGTGATATTTATTCATAATTTATTTAATCTGCTTATATTTACTTTCTCATAAATAATTATTTGTAATTTTGTTATTAAGAACTCATAATAAAAAAAAAATCCAACTTACCATATGTTGGCTCTGTTTTCACTGGTTTTGCTGTGCATTCCCCCCTTTTCGTTTTTGGAAATACAAATTTGTACACAGCCTGTCCAGTAGTAGTTATTGCCTGTTCACGTTGACAATTTTCATTCTGGTGCATAGCTGCGAGATATAACCTGTAAATCATTGAACAAACCAATGAAAAATGTACACATTGTAACAACTATTGTATAAATATTTTAAATGAAAATAACAAAGATAAACACCTGCACAGCATTCCAATAAAAGGAAAAACAACATTCTTTGGTGTGAAACGCAGAATCACACTATGAAATGCCTCAAGTGAGGATGTTTGATAGTGGTGGCTGAGTTTTGCAACATCCTTGACAACTCTCTTGTTGTTCAAAACCTTTTCTACTTTATAGAGGGCCTGTGAACCTGTAATGATACAGCCATGAAATACGAACAGCAGCTCTACATTTAACCAGTATTGTGTAAATTCATAAACTTTTTTTGGATAAATACCTGGTTGGAACCATTTTTTGCGATCTCTTGAAAGTACATCAGGGTGTTCACACTTTGGAAACAGCGGGTTATTGTGAACATGTATATTTTGTATGTGGTTCAGTAAGGATGTTAATTTGGCAACCTTTTCCGGGCCAGACACGGAGGAAGTCGCACTCCAGTACACATGGTTCTTTATACTTTTCAACCATCTCTTCAGCACCTCACATTCTTTCCTTTTTGAAAGCTTCTCAAGCTTCTTGGACAAACCTGTACAATCAAAAACAAAATTTGTAAAATAATTACATCAAGAAACTCAAATGAAAAACAAAAATCAACATGACTAAGCTTCTATAAATATAATACTTATACAAGTATTGCCACATAAGTAGCGGTGTGCTATATCTATCAGTGTACCTATGTATGTATGTATGTATGTATGTATGTATGTATGTATGTATCTGTCTATCTATCTATCTTTCTATCTATCTATCTATCTATCTATCTATCTATCTATCTATCTATCTATCTATCTATCTATCTATCTATCTATCTATCTATTTTTCTAAACACATTTTTTGATTTTTGCTACTAATGTAATATTACTCATATATTTATATATACATGTGTATTACATATTGTTACCTTTTTCAAAGTGCCACACATCATAGAACTGGGTGATGCCACGCTCTCTCAGGTACTTTTGAATTTGAGGATGGCGATCGGTGACTATGTAGTCAACAGCTAAACCATTAGCATCCAGCTTATCAAGACAACGTTTTAATCCCTCTTTTTCCATGTGATAACTTCCACCGACTTCGTTGCTCTGTTGATAAGTACGCATAAGTTCAAATAAATAAGTAGAAACATTTACAAATTTAAACAAGTATAACAGTTCTTGTGTGTTTACACTCACAATTTTGTTGGTTTCATTGTCCATCAATGTGTAGCTGCCAAATTTTGCTGAATGTCCTATTTGAAAAAAAAAGAATTATACATTAACACACATACATTTATCAGATTTCAAAGTGATTTAAATAAACCCACCATACCTGGTGTGTCAGCTCTCATATCTCCTGCTAATGCAACCGCTCCCTCTTTTTTTAGCTGTGTAAAAATATTTTGTTGCTCTAGATTCCACTTGTGTATGATGGCAGGTTCTAAAAAATTTCTGGCATGGTTCCTGAAAGCAGAGTACTGAATCGTTTGAAGATTCATGGCCTTGAAAACCTAAGGAGATATTGAAGCAATAAGTCATTATATATATATACACACACATACGCACACATAAAATTTGTATTTAAAATGTATAAACATTTATTTTTACTGTTGCATTATTTGAGAATACTAAATTATTGTTTAAATTACCCTCTGTAGTTGAATGAATGATCCACCAGTGAAATATGTAGCAGCAGACAACATCAGGTTTCCGACTGGAGTACTACCTACTATGGGCTGGCTCTGCCACTGTCGTAGGTAGTTACACTTGTCACACAGCTGTGTGAATGCAATAAAAGTCCCCATTTGTCTTTTTTGGATGGCACACTTTGTCTTACAGACGGGACAGGAACCAAACAAGTCTATAAGGCAGCTTTCAAATACAATGTATTTGTTGTCCATGTAGTTTGATTCTGGATCTAACCTAAATGAAACAAAGTGTAATCAATGTTTTAATATTATGATTTTATATTTAATAGTATGATACATTTTGTATACTACAAAGTTGTTGATAAAGATGCATTAACTTACACTGACTGTGAATCTTCCGTGACAACAGATTCCGGATTATAAGTGGAGTCATGTGGTTCTACATGCAAATCAGACTCTTCGTCCTCATCATCATTGTTGTCATCCTCCTCCTCCAACAAAAGACGAGGTCGCTTGCTTGGCCTAAAGATTGAACCCTTAATTGGTGTTGAAGAGAGCTGCATATCTGGCAAAGAAATAGTTTCTGTGCCAACATTACGACAAGACACTTTCGCCTGAATACCTATTAAAAAAAAGGGAATTGTGTTATTCATGCTATTTAATACACAATATACCTGGCACACAAACAACTTTAGAATGCACAAACAAACAACAGCAAATATTTAAATAATAAAATAAAACATACCTTTGCTTCTTACATGGATGTCCCGCAAAGTACGAAAAGAAACTTGTGTACCCACTGATCGCACATTTGGTGATCTTTTGGTGGCTACTGTCACAGTCTCTTTAATGTCTACCTGACATGCAACTTCTACATGTGTAGGTGTGGAAGGTAGGTCTGGGGAGCTGGTAACCTGTTGAGATGTTGTCTGGTAAAAATAAAAAGCATGTGTTTGTTTATTTTTTAATTGCCACCCCTGCTAAAAAAAATCACATGCTAGTAAGATATGTTTTGATGCTGTTTTCAGTGCTGGTCTAGCTGTTCTCAGTGTTGGCCCTGACCAATATTGAGACCAGCAAACCCATTGAAACCTGCAGCAAAACATACATTTCCAGCATGTGTTTTTTTAAGCAGATGTACATCATCGTAGCAACTTGCGGCTATTTCAAAGCATTATCAGTATATGTACAAACTTCCCAAGTTGATAAAAGTAGTTTGAAAAGCGACGTACAGAAAAAGCGAGAGTGGGAGATTTCACGACAAAGATGAATAGCGAGCGGGGGAGGAGGGGGCTGTGGCGGCGCCTCAGGGAGACTTCGGATGTCTGTATATACTCCACTATTTCAATTGTAAAACTCACGCAATGTTTCCGCATACATATACATCGTGTTTGCTGGTGACGAGCGTGGATAATTACAGGGATAAAACCGATACGTATGTTTGTAACGTTAGCTAAATCATACCTGCTAAACTCCCGTTTTTTCCCGAGAGTTTCTCGTATTTCACACTCATCTTCTGCCACCCTCCCGTTGTTATTTCCACAGGAAAACTTCCGTAATATCATCCACAAGCTAGCGCATTTACTTTGGTATAGCTTCTGATCGCCGATCCATACTCCTCCCGGTTCATAACTTTGTTACTTAGAGACCACCTCAACAAACTAAAGACTAACAATTGACAAAGACAAAACCAATTGCTAAAGACAAACCGCGTTTCTCGTGGTTTATATCCTGGTTTACGTCCGTACTACAACATAGCCTACAATGAATGCTAGAAACTATGCATGTAAGATATTGCAACAAATAGAAATACTTACAGGTTGTAGCTCACAATCCCCAGCATCGTCTTTTATCGTAGGTACTGCTCCTTCTTTGAGGAGAAGTTTTTGGCTAAATCCAGCCCTGAACTGCGACCAATTTTGAAAGCTGTCCTTTGTAAAATGCTGTGCACAGAGAGTGATATCTTTTTTGTAATATTCTGGAACATGATTAAAAATGAATTTTAACCACTTCCTCTTTGTGTCACGTCCTTTGGAAGGTTAAATAGCGAAGCAGAACAAGATCCATGAAAATAGCAGCGTTTCGGCATTTTCCGTTCTTTACGCGTCTGTGGCCACGCTTCTTTGCAGCGCGAGGCGTGTGAGCAGTAAATGCGCGTAACCTGGAACCCCTGTGATGTCACAGGGGGCGGAAGACTTTGTTTGTAGTCTCCAAAATTCGTTCGTTGTAGGCTTTGCTAAGCTAACTCTGTAAAAGCTAATGTCTCCCTTTGCATTGAACTTTGGGTATATTACATTCAGAGATGTTGTTTATGTTCACTTAGCTACATTACACATGAACTAAAGCTTAAAATATGACATCGTTGTGGACCACCCCTTTAAACCACACAACATATGCAGTCTTTCTTTTATCTTATAATATAACAATGACAATTCTTTTAAACTGACTCTTATTGCAACCATACTTCTAAACACAATCATACTTCTCACTCATTCTAACTAATCTCTTACACTGTGTAACCTGAACCTCACCTCTATTCTAGTCTCTCTAGAGCAAAGGTGGTAGCTTCTGCGTACCAGTATCTTCAGTCCAACACAGACAAATACACAAATACTAACAATTAAATAAATACACTACACTACACTCCTCTTGAGTGACTTGTCCGAGCAGCCTCTAACCTTAGAGCGGTAACCACAGAATTCTCCACTACACTCCTCTTGAGTGACCTGTTACTTCTGCTCCAGTTTTTACTGTTCTTCAGTAAAAATAGCATTTCACAGGATTTTTGCCTTTTTTCCCCCAGCCTTCTGAATAATAATATTTATCATTATTAAAACAGAACGGGTACTCCGGGGTCTTTGCGCGCTACTCTCTATACCTTAATCTGTTTTAACTTATTAATTGTCACCACACTTTAAGAACTTCCTCTTAAAACTTAAAAATGCTCTATGCATATTCTTCATTATTAAAAATTTCTCAAACATGAGTAACAGTTACTAGTTAACGTTTATCCTATCCATCAAGGCCCTCTTAGGAAAACACAGATCATTTGCATGCAAATTGTTATTTTCTTCTGGTATTCAAAACCCCTTTGTTTTCTTTACATCTTTTAACTTTTAATTTTTTTTAGTTTTACTTGTAGTTCGTTATAGCTGGAGAAACAGTTCAAGTGACTTTTTACCGTTACCCGCAGGTCCTTGGTAGAAAAAACAAAAACGTATAAGCGAAAATTGCTTACCGTTTTTTATCGTGACCACATATTTGTGTTTTTCCTCCAAGCCTCGGCATGTCCGGTGTCACCTGTCCATCTCTGTCCAGCCCCACGTTGGGCGCCATTTGTCGTAAATTCGACTTCTTATTAATTAAAAATGATCAGACCGGAGGTTTTGAATATCAAAAAATAGACTTTATTCTTCATAATAAAGCCGAGAAAGAGCAAAGCAGACCTCATAGCATTCTCCTCCTGCTCCTGTTTGTTACAATCTTTATACAGGTAATTATGACACACCCCTTTGTGTCTCTTTTTAACTCTTGACCATTTTTGAATAGGTTTTCTAGTCTAAGGGGTCCTGCTTTTCTTGGCTCTCAGTCCACTAGCTCATGTCAACAGAGATGTTACAGGTCTATGTCAGCAAAGTATAGATGCAACTTATGCAAAGGAACTAAGTGTTTACATACATTGTTATGATAGGATAATAACTTGATAATATTGTAGGGAGTCAACAGATCGTTCCAGAACCGAACAAGCCACAGACCATGTTTTTCTTAAAAGATTGGTTGGTGCCTACATGTCTGAGCTTTGATTAAATTTTCAAAGCAATCCACAGGCACCCAGCAAAAGGCAATCCACAGGATGACTAGCCAGTCAACATCACAGTTGCGTTTTAATTAACTTTACACCTTAAAACAATAAGAGGCTCTACAATCAAAAACCCACCAAACCGGTTTTTGAGAAGTACCTTTTGGTTTGCGTGTCCTTTGGCGTCTGCAAGGAATACACATTCTCAGGCAGACACAGAAGCGATCAGAAACGCTTTCAAAGTTTAATGGACATTAAAGTAAAACAGTTTATTTGAGTAATGTACCTTTGCTTTATGTTTCTGTAGGTTTTTGTGTGTACATGTTCCATGTGTTTAACAAAACTGTTATGGATAGTTATTGAGCAATAGCCCTCAGTGACAAATGAAATCTACAGAATGTTTGTGAAATACTTCATGTTTGGTATTGATTGAAAGCTAGGAACATTTCAAATGCATTGGTTTATATGAAGAAACCATACTATGAAAAGTGTCCATGTTATGAGACTTTATTTTAACCACCATGCTATCAAAGCTGTACCCACACCAGGTGTCAACCCGGCCTCCTAGAGGGCAGAATTGGGGTGTGTCTCCACCCCACACCTTATCTGATTGGACAAGTATTGTGTAGACCCAGCCTCTACCAAAGCCTATAAACTTTGAACAAAGGAATTTCATCATTGTCTTTTGCCGGTCATCTTTGCCAGTCGTCACCGCCGTCGCTGCCCGGA